ACCTGCAGGACTTTGCCCTGGGGACTCTCCTCGAAGAGCAGAGGCTGCTGGTAGGACGGGTCACAGCTTTTCTTCACCACCTTGGTCTTCTTCTTGGCCAGGCAGACGCCGTTCTCCAGCAGGTAAACCTTCACGTAGGTGGCTGCCCAGGGAAATGGAGGGGGAAACAGTGACACAGGGCAGGATCCTGGGATGATCCTGGCATGGTGTCCATCCCCCAACCCCCTCCCTCCCCAGCAACCTACCAGGGATGCACTTGGAGCCCATCTTCGGGATGAGCCCCCGTGCCTGGATCACATCCACCTCCAGCTGCCCGTTCCGGTCAGTCATGCCCACGTGGACGTCTCCTGGATCCCCGGGTGGGATTTAAGGGGGGAAAACGGAACAAGAGGGGGTTGCTTCGGTTCCTCTCGGCCAGCGGGATGCTCGGAGGGGCAGAGGAAGCCTCGGGAAAGGGCAGAGCCCCGCAGGCTCCCTCCTCCCAGCGCGGGAGCGGCCGGGGAAGGGCAGAGCATCCTCCGGGATGTGGTGGGATGGAGCCCGTGCCCGGTGCCCCGTGGAGGAGCACACGGGCCCTTTCCCCCCTGCAGCCCCGTCCCTCCGGCCCGAGCATCCCCTGCTCCGGTGGGCACCCCCCCCTGCCCGGGCACTCACCCATGGGGGGGGTTGCCAGCGTCTGCCGCCCCACCAGCTGCCCCGGCCCCAGCCCGTCCAGGAAGTCGCTGAACTGGCTCTCGGCGCCAAACCGGGTCGTGGGGAAGATGAACCTGCGAAAGGACTTCGATGGAGCATCATCCGGCTGCCGGTGCCGAGCGAGCCCCGGCGCCCCAGGAGGGTGCCCAGCCCCGCTCCCCTCGCCCCCCTGCAGATGCCTTACGTGCCGTCTGAGCTGTTGCTGTTGGTGCTGCCGTCGGTGGATTCCCGGCTGCCCTGCCGGGTCACCCTGGTCCTCATCTCCACCGCGATGCCGGTCTCGGTGCTCCTCCGGATGGTGCTGCGCAGCTTTTTGGGGCCCCCCTCTGGAAGGGGAGGCAGGAGGTGAGCCCTGGCACCCTCCCCTCCCTGCGTGTGGCTCCCTGCCTTCCTTCTGCACCTCACCCACTGGGAGTCATGAGCCTTTCCCTGGGGGTGAAGCCCCCCAGGACCTCCACATGTGCTGTGCTGCAGAGCCACAGGCTGCCTGTGACCCCAAATCCACCTCTCACAGCCCTCAGCATCGATATCACCACAGCTTTGCATGGCTGAGAATCCCCCCTGCACCCCAGGTACCCCCCTGGGCCCCACACACCACCCCTTGCACCTCAACCATCTCCCCCTTGCACCCCAAACGTGTCCCCCCACCTGCATCCCAAACATTCCCCCCCTCTGCTCACTTCCAGGCTCAGCTCCCAAGTGCTGGCACCATCCCAGACCACTGCCTTGACCTCCAAAATCCCCATGTGCCCATGTCCCCGTGCCAGAGGGGACAGGAACTCCCAGTGCCTGACATCGATGTCCTTTCTCCACGCTGCCCGTGTCCCAGGCCGTGGCAGATGGCAGGAGGAGGAGGGTGGCACGAGCAGCCACCCCTAGCATTGCCCCTGGGCCCTGCTGTGTGCCCATGTGTGTGCTGGCACCGCTCTGGAGGAGCCAGGTTTGTCCTGCTGGTTCCGGGCTGTCCCCATGGAAGGGTTTGCCTGCTCCTGGCAGCTCCCCCCAGGCACCGGCAGCGGGAGGGTCCCATCCTGCCATCCCCTGTTCCGTGGCTCCCACAATTTTTTTGTTTGGCTTTTGGGGATAATTAAACCCCTTCAGAACCACTTCAGATGGCTGGAGGGCCCTGTATCAACTCCTCCTTCCAGAGCATTTCCCAGACCATGGGATGCCAACAAGCAGCAGGATAAAGCAGCAGTAACTAGAGGAAAAGCCTGCACTAAAACGAGCTTTGTGCTTCCCCCGCCCCTCAAACGGCTATTTTAAGCGTTTCAATATTTCCCAGAGCTGGAGTGTTTGACAAGTCCTTTCTCCCAGCTCCCCTCCCTGCCCACAGCCAGGGCTGGGCGGAACCGGGGAGGGGGACACTCAGGCCAGGGCACCCCTCTGGAAACAAAGCAGGGCCGGGGGGCTGAGCTGCTCACCAGTCTGGTTGAGCTGCAGGGTGCTCTTGCTCCACTGGGACAGCCCCACGATCGCCACCATCTTGGCACCCAGGCTGGAGCGCCTCTTCTTGCTGGCGGTGACGGTGACGGAGTCGGCGCTGCCCCGCGCGCTCTTCTCCAGGCTGTACATCTCCCCGCTGATGCTGGAGCTGCGCACCACATTCCTGGCCGCCGAGGAGCCGGCGATGGGGCCGGAGATGGGGCTGGAGATGGAGCTGGAGATGGAGCTGGAGATGGAGCTGGTGATGGAGCCGGTGACGGAGCCGGTGACGGAGCTGGCATCCCCGTTGAACATGGTCAGCCCCTGCGCGCCCGCCGGCCCCGGCCCCGCTCCGTGGGATCAGCTGCGGGGGGCAAGGCAGGGCATGTGTCAGGGGTGGTGGCACCGGCTGTGTTGCTGCTGTCGCACCCAGAGCAGCCCCGTGGGGGTGGGTGGGCCCCCCAAGGCACCCACAAACCCACGGAGTTCAGCCCAGTGAGTTGGGGGAAGGTTGGGATGGATCTCAGGGAAAGGTTCTTCTCCCGGAGGGTGGTTGGCACTGAACAGGCTCCCCAGGGCAGTGGGCACAGCCCCAAGGCTGTCTGAGCTCCTGGAGGGTTTGGACAATGCTCTGAGGGACAGGGTGGGATTGTTGGGGTGTGTGTGCAGGGCCAGGAGTCGGATTGGGTGGGCCTTGGGAGTCCCTTCCAGCTCAGTGTATTCTATTTTTCCCACCCATGGAGCAAGGGCTGGCACAGGAAGGGCTGCAGGACCCCCGTGCAGCTGCATCCTGGGGTCCTGCAGCATCCTCCCAGCATCCAGAAGAGACCTGGATGAGCAGAAGGCTCAGAGTGTCACCAACCAGCCTGGGCTGGGACGAGGGGACCTTTGGGTACAGCCACACCCACCCCTGAGAGCACCCCAAAACTGCCCCCAGCCAGGCTCTCCCTGCACATCTCCCTCTCCAAACCACGGCTGCAGCGTCCCTGTGTGCTGCTCCAGGTGATCCTGCTCCACCCCGGCATGGGAATCCCTGGAACAGCCAGAGGCTGGAGGAGCCAGGGGCACCGGAGCATTTTCGGGTGGCAGAGGCTGTGCCAGCCCTCCTGCACGGCCCTGCTGCCTTCCCTTCCCCATGAATATTTAAACTCCAGCGGCGTGGAGCATCCATCTTCCGAGGAAAGGTGAATTATTAACTGCAGGCCAAGTGAAGCCACTTTATGATAATGGATGGAGGCACTGCCTGGGAAAATATTTCCCTTTGGAGAGAGAGAGAGAGAGAGAGAGATGGACACGAGCACAGGGGAGGTGGGGCTGGGCAGGGGGGTGGGCAGGGGGCTCCGCTGCCCTCTGCCATTGCAGGAAGAGCTTCACAGGGGGCACACTTGGGGTGAGACCTGGCAGGAGCCACGGGCACAGCTCCAGCCCTGCTGAACTCCTGGATTTATCAATCGCAGGGGCAAGTGGGCAATTAGTCATTAATGTCATTAATGAGCTCCCAGAGCACCCTCCTGGCTGGGCTGTTTTCCTGCCCAGGCTCCCTTGGGCGAGCACATGGCACTGACCCACAGCCCTCACCCCCCACACTCCTTGTGCCCAGGGGGGTCATCCCTGAGCAGGACCCTGGCACGGCCCCCCGCACTGGGCAAGGTTTGGGGTTCAGCACAGCATCAGCCTCCCCTGGTGGGCATGTGGGGTTCTCTGTCTGTGCTGCTGAACTGGCACTGGCACAGGGATGGATCCCTTTGGATGAAGCTGTCGGTGTGGGGTGAGCCCCAGCTCCAGAGGGATGGATCCCTTTGGATGAAGCTGTCAGTGTGGGGTGAGCCCCAGCTCTGGAGCCGCCCTGGCACAGCCACGTGCCGATGGCAGCTGAGCCAGGAGAGAGCAGCTCCTGTCCTAGGAGGAGTCAGGGCACGCTCACGCTGCCTTTGGGGCATTTGGGATGAACACCTTCCAACGCCACCCGCCGCTCTCCAGGCACGCTCCAGCTCCAAACTCGCTGCCACCACCGAGTTTTCTCTCAGGCAGCACCTGCCGTAGGGAATGGATCCCAACCACTTCCCCAGGCCCAGCCTGGTGCCCCCAGGCACCACCTCCCATCAGGCCCACACCACCTCCTGGGGCCTCAGTTTCTCCACTGGCAAACCTGGCAGTGCCCAAACAAACACAGAGGGCCCAGCCCAGCCCAGGCCCCTCCAGGTGTGAGCGAGCCCCGTCCTCTGCAGGGCCAGGGAGGCACAGGAGGCCCCTTTCCTGCTGCTGTTTCCCGCTCCAGCCGCCCCGGAGAGCGCCGGGCTCTGGTGGGAGCAAATTAGATCAGGAGAGCACAGCGCTAATGGGATCATTTCCAATGCAACACACACAGGATAATCCGCCGCGAGGGGAGGGGAGCGGAGCGCGCGCTCCCCGGCCCGGGGGAAGGATTTTCCTCACCCTGCCCGTGATTTTACCCCTCATCTCTCTGCACAGTCTGCTTCTGCACAGAGCGGGTGCTGGCTGGGGGGGGGAAAGGGGGTGCTTGGTGCAGGGCTGGGGACTGTGGTTGAGTGCTGGAGCCTGTGGCTCCACCACTGAGCCGGCCTTGGCATGGCCACGGAATCCTTGGCCCTGCCACAGCATCCTCAGCACGGCCACAGCATCCTCAGCATGGCCACAGCACCCTCAGCATGGCCACAGCATCCTTGGTACCACCACAGCACCCTCAGCATGGCCACAGCATCCTCAGCCTGCTGATGAACACGCAGCCCTGCTGCTGCCTCAGCTCCAGCTCCCTTTCCCCAAGAAACGTGCAGGGATTCAGGGAATGGCACCAGGTTTCCCTTCACACACTAAGCCCCCCCCTTCCCCCGCTCCCGTCCGCATATTTATTCCCTGTATCACAAAACCCCGGGATTCTCCGAGCAAACAACCGCGACGCCGCATCCGAGCCCCCTCCTCCCGTGCCGCGGGAACACATTCCCGAGCTCCCCGGGGGTGGGAGCAGCCCTTACCCCCACCACGCACCGTCCTTGCGGGAAACGACCGGGAAGTTCTCTCGAGCGAGCCAGCCCCGGCTCCCCCCGCGGCTGGGATGGCTGCGGGATGCGCGGAGCCCCCCGCGCACCGGCCGAGCCCCCGGGAGAGGCGTCATGGCTGTGGCATCCCCCGGACGCGCAGCACAAGGCAGGGATGAGCGCGGCCGGCAGGAAAACCGGCTCCCTGTTGCGTTTGGATCGCGGCTGCGGCGCAGGGACCCCGGCGAGGCTCGGCCCTCCCCGCTCATGGCACCCCAAAAAAATAAAGAAGAGGAGGAGAGGGCATCTTACCG